AGATTTGCCAAGTGTATCTTTAGCCAACGTAAGCCTGACTTTCCAAGGGGGCGTCCCTCTGCAAACTCCAAAATACCCCGGGATAGATCTGAACCAAGATGATTTAAGTATGGGTGCATAGGATATGCACGGCCCCGAAAGTCAAGATTGTGTGGATAATAAAAACCTTCTTCATCCTTCATCTTCCGTGCTACCTGCTCCCCGGTAAAAATGAGTTCCATAAATTCTAAGTACATTATGGTTACTGACTCAGAGGAGTGAAATAAATCTTACAGTTAGTTTAAGCTCCAAGTCACAACGCTGTGAATGCCTCTCCATGTTCTCTTTCTTCGCAGACTTCACCTTCCATTTCCATTTCTTAAGCAGTGTTTCATCATCAGTATCTGGTTCATCTGGTAATGGAACCTGAATGCAAAAAAATAAAGGAAAAAATAGCTTCGGATCAATTTCAACAAATCAAAATTGGCTCACAAGATTGATAACAATATTTTTGAAATAAATGGCGTGAGAAAAAAAAACTTAAAAACTGATTAAACCAACCATTTGGTTCAGTTGTTAAGTTCAGTTGAAATTTGAATTTCCTCAAATTAATTAAAGTTGATCTTGAAATTTGAATTTCCCCAAATTAATTAAAGTTGATCTTGTCTTTGGCTTTCGCCAAAGCATGGCAAAAGAACGAACCGACCTCCTAATATGTGCGAAGAATCTTGATTCTTTTTTCTTCCTTTTGTGTGTGTGTGTGACTAATAAACTCACATTATCACGGTCCACCAAATCAGCGAGACGGCCTCCACTAGCCCATATTCTATCTACAACATTAAGTACCCTCTTATTAACCCTCCATCTGGTATTTCCAAGTGTGTCCAGGGCCTGGTCAGGAAAACATAAAATCAACACATAAGGCACCACATCCTCATGTTGGTTTAGTTCCATAAAATTTTCATGATGAAAAAAGTCATACAACGCTTGTATGTATACAAACCTTAAAAACTGGTTCCAGTTGCTGCCTTGGGGTCTTCTTAATTGCTTCACGCTGCTGTTTAGCTCCATGAGTGCGCATGACATAGGATGGTAGAAAAAAGTAACCTCCTCTATCATAACTGAAAATACAAATTTATAAAACCGCAAAACGGAAATAAAACGGGTTAACCCAAAAGTAATCTGAAATTCTATCACATAAAGGACTATGAAGAAGTTGAATTCTATGTTCAATGTTGATGCACTATGAAAGCATCATGCCACCTTTGAAGAAAGAATTAAATGGAGGAGTTGTCCTATTCGATTCCTATATCAAACCCTATTCTCTATTTCCAGCTCAGACCCCCCAAGAATGCAATATATTAGAATAGCTTCTACACATTTCATTCCATCCATTACTGATTTTATGAATGACAGACTTCAATCTGATCTTATGTGAACTTCAAATAAAAAATTAACAAAAGAACGACTTTAAAATTGGGCAAAACTGGTAACACATAGCTGTAATTATCATACCCTGTCCAGTTGACTGGTGGTACCAACATTGGCATATAAGGAATCACCATGTGGCTTGCCTGCATAAACAGTAAAAGTTATTGATAAATCTTGGACTAAAGAAGAATATAAATTCCTGCAAGCTTCTTAAGATGTGTCCTTTGACAGGAAAATGAGAAAACTTATACATAATTAGCTTAGCCAACATTCCATCACCTGCTAGGGACAAATGGACAATACTATACAACATTCCAGATCCTATCAAACTATTTTATCGACAACATTCCTAGATCCTAAAAGTATAAATACATAAAAATAGTTCCAAGAGCCAACAGACATCTCCAATTGTTTCAAGAATAACAGAAAGGAAAAAGGATCGAAGTTACTTACTGTTTTCTCAAGGCCTTTGAGAACAAGAGGGTTGCATTGAATAACACCAAATCTTCTGCTGGTGGTATTCCTGTTGAAAGAAAAGTCCACATTAACATAAAATTATTCGGGAGGGGAGGTGTACAGTTATCAATAGTACAGACTAGTAAATACTTTGGATCTTTTGTGGCAGTCGTAAGTGTGTGTACAAATGCAGGTCGTATATCTGGTGGAGAATCTGCGGACTGATCGGCCGGAGGTTGTATAAAAGCCGTTTGAATCAACAGTTCAATCAGACGACTGCCGACCTGAGAAATACATAGGAAACAAGTGGCATTTTGGAATGCATGTAAATAAAATGCTGATAAAGTTCTACCAGTTAAAGCATAAACCATGCAAACCTTAGCCTTGGCTTCCAGGCTCCAGGGTTTTGAAGCATCATATTTCCTCACTATATGTCTCACTGCTCGCAGTTTTTGCTTTTTCATCAATTTCGTAACCTTTTTATTCAGCTTCTCTTGTTCCTTCATTACATCATCAGACCCTCGGTTTTCCTCATCTTTGTTGACCTTTTTCTTTCTCGTCTGTTCCAAAAAATTGTGTATTCTAACCTGATGCATTGAAGCAGTGATACATCAGTGCTCATCTAGGAGAGATGGACGGCACGACACGGTTAGAGTAAGAAAACCAAGCCATAGGAATACTGTTTTACTTAGTCCATCTAGAGAACAACAAGAAACAAGAACAAGGCACTAAGGTTTTAGATTTTAGATCATTCCCTGAGTCCCTTTCCACACAAACTTAACATGGTTCGGGAAAAAAAAAGAGGCAAAAATAGGAATTTCACTATGGCACCACCGTTAACTGGATTCCAGCAAAGAAATGAAACTAAACAGAAAAATAAAATGACTGCAATCCTACTCCTGAATGGAATTGACTATTAACCAGGTAGAGAAAACTGAAACCGAATCAAAACGTCCATGAATATGTGTAATGAAAAGTTCACACCTCCTGCTCAATGGCTTCACCTATGGTGCAAGCAGCTGCTACCACCCTGCAAGTTCCATGTTCGCCTCCAGTCATCAACAATCCCATCAGCTTATGCATTGTAATAACCGACATCATATCAGCCGGTAACTGATCAAAATAAGGCGCGTAGGCTGCCTTATTCTTCCCCTTCCGGCACAGGTTTTGCTCGTGTTCAATGGCATTGCGCAGAGGCTCAAACCAACCAAGAAACAAAGACTTCATGTATGGCAAATTGGGAGCTAACTTGTGCTCACACATGTCCATCATAAGCTCCCTATACTCCTTCGCCGCCCGTTCCCATGCTTCAGTCTCAATCTTTATCTGTCGTCTCTTTAGCGCAAGGTACTTCGCCTGCCCCATTCCTCTCACTCTCCTCTGCCGCATCCGCCGCCAATGATCCGTCTGCCTCTTGCCCTCTTTACTCATTTGCTGCAATAGCTCTTGAACTTCATCAACAACAGACACATCCTCCTCGGCATCAGTGGAAGAAACCGCCTCCGCGACGCTTGCATACCCTTTGGGGCAAAACCCATTAAACCCAATCGGATTCCTCACAGACCCTAAACTTGGATTCCCCATATAACTCTCACCTGAAGAAATCTCACCTTTCCTGCAAAAACCCACCTCCGGAAAACCCTTTAAGCAAGAACCCGTCTCAAAAGGCTTGAACTTTTCCGAGAAAACAGATTCCCGGGAAAACCTCAGAAGGCTATAAGCTCTAGAAATAGACTGTGAATTCAGACGACACCTCTGGTTCCCGGAAATGACCTGCTTAGCCAAGTTTCTCCACAAACTAGTGGATATCATTGATGGGCTCTTGTGGAAAACTATGGGGATTTGAAATGCGCAATTCTTGGTGGTATTTGCAGGGGGAAATGGGGTTTGGATGCAGGACATCAAATTAAAAAGATCAAATATTTTTGGAGGAGATGAATTGGTGAGAGTGATGAAAGTGGGATCAGAGGCAATGGTTCGAAGAAGGGATTTGGAGACGCAATCAAATTCATCAGAGAGAGAGGGAGGGAGGGAGGGAGGGAGGGAGGGAGAGAGAGAGAGGGGAGGAAGAAGCAAACCAGTGAGCAAGCAGCGGCCTAAAGCCCTTGACCCTTTTCTTAAACCCTGACTCCGGCAGTAGTTAGTAAAACGCTTTTGATTTTTGGAAAATTAATTAAAATATTTTGAAAATTTTAAATTTTAAAGATAAAAAACAAAATAAAAAGTAGAATAAATAGTACTAAGATTGATTTGTTAGCGTAAAAATAAGATTTTTCGTTAAGGTGAATAATACCGTAAATTTTTCGTTAAGTTCCTTTTATTTTTGCTTGCTTGGTGCCTGACTGGGAGTTTGGGGCGTTTCTATTATTTTCACTCTTTGGGGGCCAATTTGTGTAATTTGATGATAAATATGGTGCGTCTGTTCCATACGTATGGTGATGATGTGGCTTAATCAACATCTAGTTTTTCCTTTTATTTTCTTAATGATAAACAGGATTTCAAAGCACACAGAAATTTTGGGTCAGATTGTTTCACTAATCAGTAGCACATGTTGCGTCGTAGGTTACTTTTTTTAAGTGAATTCTGCTAACAACACATCTACATGAGATTCACAACTATGAAATCGAAGCATGGATGAAACATAAAACCGAATACTCATATTGTTTGTTTGGATGTGTTTTAAAATAACTAAAAGTGTTTATAAATAAAATATTTTTTAATTCAAAAAACACTTGAGGTGTTTTCTACAAGAAGCATCAGTTATGTGCACCTTACATGCTTTTACAAGATTTACAAGCATTTTTATTAAGGATTGTTTCCAAAAATATTTTCATCAAAAGTTTTCACTAATTGTAAACGCACATTCAAACAAGCTCTTAGTATCTCGGAAGATCAGGTTAAGGCGAAAACACTCGTCACATAACTTAAATGGGGACAAATATGACCGGTGTGTCAACACTAATCTCGCCGGTTACGAACCCTAACACCATGGCGAGGGCTAACATGAATGAAATCTTGATAACCAATAGACTTTGTTGATCATACAGTAACACTACACAATGTTCTTGTGGGAACTCTTGCTTCATACTACATTACAACTGAAAGTATTCACACGCAGAGAGAGAGAGAGAGAGAGAGAGAGAGAGAGAGGTTAGATTTATTAAGCTGGAGAATTAAGTGAGATACAAAAGTTGCCTGGTCTAACAAATTTCTTGTTCTTCCTCTTTAAGAATGAGAAACAATGACATCCTATCACCTAAACCCCGCCCATGTGTAAATAACCATTAGACCGTACATCTTTCTTGGATTTGCACTAGTGACGTATACAATACTTGAATTTCTCTACGTAGCTGGTTCTCATCCTACGGACATTTTTCGTATCACCCAAACGACCCAATTAAACCAATCAAATAAATAGAAGCGGGGTAGAAGGCAGATTTCCATTTGTGAACTGATCCAATCTCTTCACGCACTGGTAGCTGTGGGCTTAAAACAATCAATATTGCACAATCCAACTGATCTGAACATCTCGCCGAAGCTGCCACCAAAGTTAAATTTCAACCGTCAGAAAAACTCGAGTTGTATGTGTCGATGCTATGATGTGAACAGTTGAATTTCGCAATATAAAGCATGTATGGGTGAAAACTGAAAAACAAAAACTTGCTTACCGGTCAATGCTATTTCTTGCTCTCTCTGGCTGATCTACGCTATTACTTGCTTTTTCAGGTTGGTCCATACTCTTTCTTGTTCTCTCTCTCTTATCAGTGCTGGCCCTTGACCTCTCTCTACGATCTGTACTTAACCTGGGGTTTTCTATATGATCGGTACTTGGTCTACAATTCTCTTTGTGATCTGTGCTGGAACAAGATTTCTCCCTGATGTCAGTGCTTTTCCGCGGATTTTCTGGTTGACCTGTAACTGGCCCTGATTTATTCCTCAGATGTGGATATTTCTCAATGGTCGATACGAACTTTTTGACATGCTTTATGTACTGTGGGTAGAGCTCCAAGTCACAATGATTACCTCCTTTTATCCATAATGGCTCATACTTCTCCTTACAATTATCCCAAAGCTGCTTGCCATGAGACCAATCCACAACATCATCAGCCGTCCCCTGCAAGCAATGGGAAAACTCAGAACAAAACAACCTGGCAAATAAGTACACTTCTGAAACTAAACCACACATATTTAATGATACTATAAGACCAGGTTTGCATGGTTTCAAAGATATTTGTTAGCTATCTACCTTTTCTGTCATTATTTACTGTTTACCTAGATTAGTTGGATTAGTAAAACGGGAAAAACAATAAATTCCAGGTCAAAGAGTTTGATAACTATACATAGACACATAAAAAATAAAAAGCTATTAGCTACACTTCTTCCCCGGGTTGTAAGTCATCCAACAGGATGGATGAAGATAAAAAAGCATACAGTCAAGAAATGTCAAGCACATAAAGATTCTTAAAAGAAATTATTTAGACTACACACGCAAAAAAAAAAATCACCACCGGCGTGGTGAAGACCAGCAAATTTGGAACATGAAGACACGAAGTGTTAGCGCATCAGTGCACATGTTGAAGACTAGTGTAACCAATTTGTTAGGTCATCAATATGCATTACTAGGTTTCCATATTTAGATTCACTAGAGTCTAGGAAAACAAAGCATACAATTTAAAGAAAAAAAGCACTCACATGAATCACCAGAACGGGACAACTGACCAAGGGTATTTTGTCAATGTTCTGCACCATGAATAGGAGAACTCTCATTAGCGTGATGCAATCCCAAATGTTGTGAAAAATGTGAGCCTAAAGCTGAGCAATTAACAAAGATTAAGTACCTTATAAATGTCAAACCAATATGTTCGCTTCACTGGATACATGACACGAAGACCAGACATGATCGGACTGTGAAGAACCACTGCCCTCAATCTTGGTAACCGGGTTGCTAAATCGAGAGTAGGCCCACTACCAACTGATTGCCCATATAAAATAATATCCTCCTCCTTCGCACCGTACCTCTCCACAAGGCATCTATATGCAGCTTCTACGTCTGCATAAGTGTTTTGCTCACTTGGCTGTCCATAAGAGAGAAAATATATATCTCATTTCGAACATTCTCCTAACCAATTATAGCTAAGACTTGCTTTCATTCATCCAATGATCAATTTGGTCTCTAGGAAAGAAGAAACCTTTCTAATTAACAGCATAAAGTAGCCTGAAAAACTCGACAAACGGGTGCATCGCAAATAATAAAACCATATTCAAGTTTCATTATCTTATGATGGAAAATTGCAAGAAAAGAAACCCTACTGAAATTAATTATACAGAACATATAGCGATCAGATTAACATTTTCTAGTTTCTCTACCCTACTACTGGAGCTATGTTTCCAGGGCTTTCAAACAAATCAGCACAAAATCGAAAGCGAAATCTCATACCTTCCCAGTGGACTGTCCGTAGCCCGAATAATCATACCTATAAAACACAAATAAATCCCATAAAGTTCAAAACTTTACAACTTACAAACACACATAAATCATATTTTGTGCAAAAATAGAAACACAGATACTTAGTCACAAATCAAACAGTGAAATTTACAGATTCACTGTAATTAATTACTGACCCCAACAAGTTGACTCGGAGGTGAAGACTCAGCTCACTGAACAACTCGTACATCTGACCCAGATCAGCCGCGTTCCCATGCGAGTGCAGAACAGTAAGCTTCGCCGACGGATTCCTTATGTACACCGCCACGACGTCGTTCCCTCTCTTGGTCCTCAGCTTCAAGACGTCGACGTTTTCCCTAGTCCCCACCCCGGTCATCTTCAGCTTCCCACTATCCTCCTCCTTCTCCACCCCGTACGACGGCGGGCTCGGCGGAAAAAACGCGAACTTGGCCGCCATTGATGACGTCACTGCCCCCATCTCAAACCCAAATATAAAAAATATACAGAAAAAAAAAACCCAAATTTTAACTTAATTGAAACTGGAGAGTGTGAAGAGCTTGATTCAAGCTCATTTAAATTCTTGGGTCGGAAAATTGGTGTTTGGTTGACGAGAAAGTGAGAGAAAATTAGATCCTAGGGTTTGGAGTCCGGGGAAGGACGGTTTTTTCAGCTTAGAGAGAGAGAGAGAGAGGGGGCGGAGGATTTTCCGGCGTGGAAAGGGTGGGCAGCACGTGTGAAATGATTGAAGTTTGTAGAACGAGCGGAGGGGGGAGTAGTGGTCCGGTGATGGCGATACGAGAGAAAAGTAACTGCAAGCGGCTTTAGTGAGCCGCCACGTGTCCACTCTGGGCACCGTGGTCCACTGATCCTTCTTGCGAGCTGTCTTCCTTCGCTATGGGCCAGATGGCTTTGCCAGATTGTCAAACATAACATATTGTTTTTGTTTTTGTTTTTGTTTTATTTTTTGCTTTTATTTTTGTTTTTTTATGCTTTAGAAATTAAGATAAATAGTGTTTTTTTTTTTTTTTGGTTGTTGTGCAATTGCCAGAAAATGGGTTTCTGTGGACGTCCGTCAAAGACAATAGATGAGAGCTGTTCTTTTGTATTTTGTGTGTTTTTTTCCCACACATGTTGTGAGAGCGTGGTTGTAAACTTTATTAAGAAAATTGTATAATAATAAATTCGCATTTTTGAAACTATTGAACTAAAATTTATAGTTATTAGTAATTGGTAGTTATTTACGTATGACTCGAGCATTTATGTAACAATCCGTTTCGAAATTTACGGAACTAAAGGGTATTTTGGTAATTTCACTTTGGCCGTAGGATATTTGTTTGAAATGTGACTTTATGGCCTTAAATAGTGTGCCTAAGGGGGCCCATGTCTGATTTTGTCCTTGGCCCCATTTCCTTTTTTTCTCTATCTCTCTTTCTCTCTCTCTCTCTCCCTAGTGTGAACTCTCGGACACTCTCTCTCCCTCTTCCTCTTGATGCACTCTTCCATCCCTGAGAACCCACCCACACACACACATAGACACCACTACCCACCACCATCACTCTTCCCTCCCCGTGAGCCCCACGAAACCTAGAGCAAAGGAAAAGCACACTCAACCCCCCTGTACCGTGGCTACGCCACTGTGCATCTCCTTCTTCGACTAACCATTGACGTATGTGAGTCCCCTTAACCTTCTAGATGATGTTTTAAGGTCGATTTAAGGTTATTGTTAAGTTGTGTATATTGAACACGGAAACTCGTCGAGGAAGGATTTCCCAGTTCTCGATGAGGAAACCATAGCTTGCAGGGCGTCTTCCGGCCAACTCTGGCCACCACAGGTCGTGAAAGTGGTATAATTATCTTCCTCTCCCTCGTAGCTTCATTTTTATAGTTTAATCGTTGAGTTTAATGTATCGAGTTCGATTGGAGCTTGGGAAGCTCCGGCTTCCTCCTTCGCGAATCCGACCTGAAAACTGGATTAACCCAACCCATAGTTTCGGACCCATGCCCAAACCGTAACCAAATCTGGGCTCAAAACCCAACCCAAGGCCTTCGGCCCACTAAGCCCAACCCAAGCCTTTGGGCCATGTAAGCCTGCCCAAACCCAAATGGCCCTAGCCTAAGAACCAAGCTCAACCAAAAACCAGATAAGCCCAAACATAGAACCCAGTCGGCGCGTGCGACAGCTCGTGTGGGGGCGCGTGGGGGTACCTGAGGTCCCTCCTTATGTTTTTCGACATCCTAAATCCGTTCGTGGCATCCATTTCTCGAAATTTAATCGTTATGATATAGTTTTATTAATTGGTACCGTTATGTGTTTAGGTGCAATTGTTTATGGCATTTTCGTCCTCTCTTGTTTGCACAGCTCTTCACCAACAGTGTAAGGTGAGTGGACCTCTTCTAAAATGCATATTTTAGTATTAGAAATGCATACATGAAAAGCATGATTTAATGGTTACATTTTATGAAACGTTTATAAGTAAATTGGATTTACGCTTTATGATATTCTTGCTTTATCGATTTTACGTTCTTCGTAGTATATATGATGATAACTATATACTATGAATAGGTTTCACGATATGATGTTTTAGCTACTGAACTCCTATTAAGATAGATATATATAGATATTAGAAATATTATGTTAATGTCTTTATGTACTTACTTAATGGTTATTCGGATGGTACTACCTACGGGCAAATGATACTTTTTATATGCCTACGGGTGGGTGTTGTAGGAGCCTACAGGCGATTGATACTTATATGCCTTCGGGTGGGTGCTGTAGGAGCCTACGGGCGATTGATACTTATATGCCTTCAGATGGGTGTTGTAAGAGCCTACAGGCAAATGAAGGGTTATATATGCCTACGGGCAGAAGATATTTACATTGGCTACGGCCAGACGTTTGGTTGGTGCTTACCGGTGAATGATACTTATATATTGGCTTCAGTTGGGCGTTTGTAAATGGCTTCGACCGGAAGATATTGATTTTGGCTTCAGCCAGGAGATATAAGATATGGTTTCGGCTAGGCGTGGGTTGGTGGCTTCGGCCGGGAGATACTTATATATGGCTACAACAAGGTGTGGGTTGGTGGCTTCAGTCAAGAAATACTTATAAATGGCTACAGTCGAGTGTGGGATGGTGACTTCAGTCAATTATGATAACATTATTAAGCACTATATATAATATATGGTTTACGAAGGTTTTATGGCATGCTAGGGTTTTCGGAAAACCTATTACATATTATACTATTGAGTTTTCATAAATTTTAGGGGTTAGTACGTTGAGAAATAACTGTTTTAGTATTACTTATATATTAACTTGGTCCACTCATGTTTTGTTTTCGCTCCCTTAGGACTTAAATTCGAGCCGTACGATCCTGGCGTTAAGGCATTCTCGCATCGGCATCTTCGAGTCCTCTCATTGTAGGACCCATCCTTTTATTCATTCAATTTTATATTATTCATTTTTGGTGTCTCAGATTAGTTGTATGCTCTGAACACGTTCCATAATTGCATATTCATTATAATTAAATTTACAAGTTTTAGTTATGTCAGTTAATTGTTTCTAGTTCTCATGCATCCTAATATGGCTTCGTCACCTTCGGGTGTTGGCCATCATGTGTCTACCCTGTTATTTGGAGAATATCACGGTCGGGTGTGTCAGTTTAAGAATAACTAACCCTAACTTCTCTAGAGCTTTGTTATTAAAGCCCAAATCTTCTAGATTTATAAAGTTTGGAATACATCGTTATTCTCTTTACTTTATATAACCTATAGCTCAAATTTCTTATTTGTTTGTTCAAACTATCTTATTGCCAGCGAAATAAACAAATCAAATAAAATTTATTTATGCATTCTCGTACGAATTGGAGATTAAAATGTCACTAGATTGATTGGAGAATAAGTGTCACTTGATCAATCTGTCACTTACAAATTTCATTTTTGAAATAACCGATGTTAAGAGAGGAGAGATCGAATATAGAATGTACAAGGATAAGCATTAACCTACAATACAAACTCTTAACATATTTGAACGCAAAACCTAGGTCAAATTGATTGAACGATACGTATCATAGTCATGCTAATTTTGAGAGTCGAAACAGCTAGTAAGTCAACTTTTTGTTTCATTAATATATAGCGACAACTATTATTGAAAGATATCTCAAATTCTGTTACAATCATTGACAAAAGTGATACATGAAAAGTTTGAGTTGTGAATCAAACAAGTTGGTTTGCTAACGGTTCATGAATGGAGTCAAAGCCAAATAAACTCACGGGCAGCCTTCAGTTTGAGGATCATGATTCGTGAGTCACAAGTTATTGCAACCCTAATTTAGATTTCAGGTTGTTATAGCTTTCATGGCCAGCCTTCATACCTAACATGTACACCATTGTCAATAATAATGGAACAGATACAAAGTATGGAGCTTAAGCCTTCCCCACTATCTTCTAAAGCCGATAACTACAAGATATTTTGAAGTGTGTCCGAAACATGGGATGAAACATCACATATCATTTTACCATTAGAATAACACTTAAAATAAAAAGTTTCCGCCAATAGTATAGTCATGGTGTACCTCCTTGTGTTCTAGACACACTGAAAAATATTTTCATAATTACCACCGTCATCTCTATCCTCCCATTCAAGTGCCTATAGCCCATATTTGAATCATTTTTCGGCAGTACGCTTACTTAATTTCAGGTCGACCATACACATTGAGTATATATCTGGGTACTGAGTTTTATGTCTTAATTAAATACAATATAAGCAGTGAAATTCTCAACCACAAGTTGTTTGAACGAGTTGGAGTCCCCCATTTTTTTGCATTTTTAATATTTGAAATCTACTTGTCAAAATGAGAGATGCAGTTAAAGTGAAAAAGGAGCAAAGCAAAAATGAAAAGATTGCATGCATTATTCTGTATTCTGCTTTTCTCAAACGTCACAAAACTATATGTTGTGTTTCATATTCTTCCTTTGTCTGTAGAGCTTGTATACATTCAGGAAAACTAAATCCACGTTTTTGTAACGTTTGTTCTTCCTGTTATACAGATGCAATTCAGGTGGCTGCATGCTTGAATTCCCTACAATATCTGCAATATGGATGTAACACGATCGCTATCTCACCTGTGTGGATTGTACATACAAGATAAACATGAAAATCAATTTCACAGTAAAAATAATGGGACTTTGTATATGTCAGTAAGTCTCTTCGACCCACACATGATCATGATTTTCATAGTCCTTCAGAATCCGTAACAACAATTTGATTTTCTTTTTAACACGTTTGTGACCAAGACGACCAAACATCCTTCCACCACAGCAATGCCTTTATGGATTAAGTGAGAGTCAGAACATCGATCAGGCAGTGGGATCGCCCTAAATTTCTCGTTCCCAAATCGAAAACCACTAAAATATTTTCCTTATTGTATATCCAATTATTGAACTTTTTAGTTTCAACTATTTGTATAATTCATCATGAGAAAACAAGTACAAGGGAGAAACTCTTATATAGAGCTTGAGAATGGCTTAAAGGCCTATAGGCAAAGCCTGATATTAGGCCATATAAAGAACCAAAAAATAATCTAGCTAACCCTACTTACAAGTTTCAATGAAACACAAGACCATAAATTAAGGAGCAAATTTAGGGACAAAGGAAAAGTGACGGCTGCAACTCACACATGTGATTGTGCGTTGAAGAAGCAATACATCACGTCTACATCACTTCCAATGTCCAAAAGTGACAGATGCAACTCACGTCTACATCACTT